AGCACCGAGCCAGAATGCACATAAGAGTTTGATGCAGTTCTCACTTACTCCCAGGACAACAGCATTGCAATCGCAAAAGTTACTCCAGATTTCTATTGATGAAATTGGAACTGGACCCTAGGTTTTCTTCAGAGTACCATTAATGTTTTACAGCTGAAGTACCACCTCTAAAGTCTGTAAATATGTCTTCTCTGTCCCAAGCTTAATCCCAAGACTAGGTTCTGCGAAATGAACTATATGGTCTTGGATAATTCAACAACTGCATGGAATTTATTTTTTCCAGGTTTATAGCACCTAAATCAGGGCTGAGCGTTTACATACCTCCCAGTCCAGAACGGAGGCCTGCCACTGAGCTATCTTGTCAATGTTCTCCAATCTCCGCTTCCGCTCATTGATCTGTAGAGTCACGTTCCTCATGACGGCGAGAGCAGCAGCCACATACCTGTAGTCACTGTCAAACACAAAAGAAAAGTCCATGAAATGGAGCCTGATGTGGAATGGAAATGCACAGGAGCATATCATTAGCAGCAGGACAATCTCATCATCCTTTTAGAAAGAAGGTAGCATTTGCTGCTCATGTCTACGATAGCAGGTTTTTTCCATCAACAATGTCTTTCTGGATTACCACAAAGGAGCAGATTGCTTGAAACTGAAATGGCGTGTATATGAGACAGAGAAGCCAGCCAGCTCCTCAGCTTGTCTGCATCAGGGTAGCCCCAATAAGTACGGTCTAGCCTCTACCAAACTAACGTACAACAGCTGCAAGCATTGCTCTTTAAAGTCTTAAGGTGCTCAGCTAAAGAGCATGCTAAAAGAAAGTCTGAACATTTTTATACCCTGTGTCTTTGGGCCTGGATTTTTCCATTTTTAAAATGAACATTAGAAAATATTTTTCAACTAGACACAAGGCCGGAGCGCCTTCCAAGCCAGATGGTGACTCCAAGAGTGCCACAGAGCATTTGTCCCAGGGCATTCACTCTTACTGCAGACTTCAGGTGAGCAAATCAAAGCAATTCATTTTTTCTTTTTTCCCTGGATGGGCCTGTGAGTGTAAGAACAGAGTGAAAATAGCCTTCCGCCAGGGCCAGCAAAGATGATGATCAGTCTTTTCAAAAAGTGATGCTGAAATCAATGCTATTGATTTCTGCCCTGTGCCTTCTTTTCCATTCCAAGGAATCTTAAAGTTCATTTCAATCGGAAAGACAGACAAGGCCAGCTGCCATAATGCCACCATAATATATTATTAACTTAAGGGTTGCTATTGATTGCTGACTAATGAGAAAAACTGCGATCTTGGGCAGCTGCAGGGGGGAATGGCTTTATTGATTATTGCTAAGAATTACACTGGTGACAGCTAAAATAGGGGCGAACGCTGTGAATTAGATCCATTTCTCCACGTGATCCAAGCAGGATAAATATTAAGAAACAATCACAATATGATACACAACAGAATATTATTTGCTATTTTGCCATCCTTTCTTGGATGAAATCTTGAGATGCGTTTTCAATTTTTATTCAATTCTTACATCAAAATTCTAGCTGAGGTTAAAAAAAATCCTACAAATTCCAGCACATCAGGAGTGGTCCTTCAGCAAAGTAAAGGGGAATAGAGGATGGGCTGTCTGACACGGCCATCATGACACACAACGAAGAATTTCTTGTGCCTTCCTTTGCAGGGCCATCGGTATGAAGTGAGCGTAAGGGAGAAACAGAGGTATGCCAGAGAGACATTAGTCTGGTGTTCAAAATGTCCACGAGTTCTTGTGGAGAAATAGGTAAGTCACTATGGCCAGAAAGGACCTGTAGAGGTAGGGAGAGGTGTAGGGTTTAGGGACAGTCACTAATAATCTCCTAGCAATTATGCTCACGCAAAGGAGGAAGGCTCACGTCAGCCCACCCGTTAGCAGAGTCTCCTTTCTCACGTAACATGTTCATACAGTTTCAACTCCAGCTCAGTTCTGCAGCAGGACACCAGCAAGCTGTACTTTGGACCTTCATATATTTAATTCATATTAAGCTGGAGTAAATCTTTAAGAGGTGAACAGATGTGGCTTTGTGAAAAACTCAAATGATCCACTCTCAAAACAATAAGCAACTGAAGGGAGCCAGGCTCTGAAAACACCTCCATGCGGAGTGGGCCAGTGCCAATCAAGCTGGGTTTTATCTTGGTGATGCTAATTCACTAATTCTAATGTTCCGTTTGAAGAGAAAACCCCATGCACATTTTTCTTTCACGCAGTAATGAAGAAAGAGTCATGACTGAACTTTTTGGGCTCCTAGCCCATGTCTGTGGCAGAGCTGGCAAAAACTCAGAAGAAAAAATAACAGAAGCAAAGCATTTGGCCAGTGAAATAATAATAGGATAGCATTAACTATGAAATTAATTGTTTGTCAATTATATTGGGGCTGCAGTGACCTCTTTCCAGTGCTCAATCAGAACGCAAGTCTAGACTCTTGCCAAATATCACATGCTAACTTGAGGGAGAGTGCTCAGGCTTCTGGTTTCAGCTCTGTTGTCCTGACCTGGTACAGGGAAGATCTGTAGCTCTACAAGTATGGTATTAGTGAAGAGGAAGGGAAAAAAATAAAGAACAGAATATCGCGCTGTTAGATGAAGCTAACATATTTGTTTTCATTAGGACTCCTGGTCCTTTCTGAGTTTTGCCTTACTCCGTAAATGGTTCAATTGATTTAAACAGTATTTTCTAAATAATAAATTCTAATCAGAGTGCCTAAGAGACTCCTAATCCAGCCAATGATGAGCCTGATTTCATTGTGAGTATTAGTCCACTCGATCATTTTCTAGCTTCTGTTTCAGGCTCGCAATTGAATTGCAAGCACTGTCAATCTGCAGGCACGTGAGGACAACCCGCCGCCTCATTAACGGGCCCAGCCGAAGCTCCCTGCTTGGCTCCTCAGTTTCTCTCATTCATAGCTGACCCTGATGGCATCCCAGCCTGCAGGTATCTGGCTTTTCCCTGTGTCTGATATTGTCACAACATGACATTCCCCAAAGATTATTTGCCTTTCCAATCTCAGGCTTTGCTCATCTCAGCCCTGATCCCAAAGCCAGAATTACAGGAGCAGAAAATATTTGTATTTCGAGTAGGCAGCCACGGCAGCCTGGGTTTTCTGCACAGCCCCAGTGCAGAATCATTTGGTGGTGAGTAAGACACGCTCTCTGTGCCTCGCTTTCCCCATTCGTGGCATTAAGCTTGTCTGGGATGCGAGCTGGGTTGCCTGCAGGATCGGTCCCTCCCAGGCTCTTTGAATGCTTGAATCGGAGGAGCTAGACCACAGGGATGCGTGGTATAACCCACTCCATTTCTGAGTTATAACACCATTCCTCCATGAGGCAATGAACTCTCCAGGGCATGCCCACGCTAACAGAAGTACGCCCCGCTCCAGCGCTGAGGTAAGGCTCAGCTCTTTTGCTGGCTCTCTGCGCAGGCTTGAGTTTCATCTCTGCACGGTGTTACAGCTCCGGGGGCTTACTCTTTACTAATGCAAGGCAAACAAATATAATCCTGCTTTACTTTTTCAGAAAATGAAGAAGCAAGAGAAACGAAGTGTCCGTGGCTGTGTCCTATCACTGACACAGTCCAGTAAAAAAGAGCTCTCGGTCTGAATCAACTAATTGTTGCTTAACCACAGGAAAGGTCCAAGTCTCCTCAGAATATGACTATATCTGATTACTTAACAACACGTTGATTTTAAAACATCCCAAAGGAAAAAGAAATGTACTCCCAAAATAATTCAACCCTTGTGTAATCACACTGTCCACATCCCCTTTGGTATTGCTACCAAATAACTCAGAGAAGGTCACTTTAAACAGACGACTTCTCTCCGAGGCCACTGATGTCTTCCCATTGCAAAGCCGCATCTGAATTCACGCTGTAAGTACTGTGGGGACATCACATGGCTGGGAAGGAAAGAAAAGCCACAACATTCGGGATCCTAGAGCTGCTTTCTGATACCCTAGTGTTCCCATGAGTCCACTCCAAGTTTGATTTGGTCTCGTTATGAAGGGAAAACCAGAAATTGGATCACATTCATGTCCAAATTGTTGATTTTGAACTGGGCGTTCAGCTAGTATGAATCAGTCAAACTCGTGAATCAGGTCAAAGCAAATCAATGCATTGCTCTGCTCGTATCACATCTCTCTGCACTTCTAGTGCTGGGTTTGGGGAAAAACAAAAAAATCAAACACTTGCAGAAGTTTCTGAAACATCTGTGGTCTTTTTTGTTCTCTGAAGCACGTCCTTTCGAATGGGTTTTAGAAAAAGAAAGAAAATCGGCAAGGCAGGAGAAAATCTGCTCTTAGGGGGCCTGATTCTTCTTTCACCTTATTTTTATAGCAGCATATCACGAGTGGTGTCATAGGTACTATTCTTGATTTACACAAAGTCAGGGAGTCAGGCTGATTGCCCTCAGCAGCAGCAAAAAAGATCCTGGAAATTCTGGGAAGTAATCAAACTGCTGGGTGCTCCTCTGAACCTAAACCCTATGGCAAAATCCAAGATGGAATCAGGCTGAAAAGCAGAGCAGGTTCTGAATTCTCCCCAAATCTGAGCATGTTCAGGTTTGAGTTGCGGATCCTGGCCCTCTACTCGCTATGTGCTGAGGTCCTCTTCAGGATAAAGGAATGAGCCTTTCTGACCACTGAATGCTAATTAGGTAATTTTTCTAGTGTAACTGGTAGCATCAGAAAGTACATCCAAGGGTAATTAGTTCACATGTCTGATTATAACAGAGATGAGTTTGGCTCCATTGAGAATCAGTGCTTTGAGAAGCTTTCTAACTGTCTGCTGAAACAAGATGTCATGAAGAGAAGAGCTGGACGGAAAAAAACCCAACCCCCATGTGCGTGCAGAGGCCACGTAAAGAAGCAGTGAGCAAAATCCTTCCATGTAATAAGAGATGGGCGTACCTGTGATCCTGCGCGGTGTACTTCAGTAGCTCTGCGAGCTGCAGGGGGTATTTGCAGATCTTCTGCACTGGCGTCAGAAGGAAACCGTCTATGGCGATATCAATCATCTGCTGCAATAGACGACATGCTTCGAAGAAATGCTGGTACCTGCTATCTTTCATCAGCTTGGAAAGCTCCATGCATGCATCCAAATGATTGTTACAGTACTCCGAATAGATCCAGAAGCCATCTTGCTGTGAGAGGCAGAAGAAAAGGGATGCACACAGAGGGGAGTACACGTCAGCTAAGCGCTGCGAGCAGTCAGCCACCCAACTTGCCAACAAGAACACATTACAACTAAAGAAGAAGGAATACCCCAAGCAGGAGGAGGAAGGACTGATCCCAGAGCACTGTTCCTGCTTGGAGGAGGTGCTGCATGGTTGCTCTGGGGGAAAAGGGAGGCAGAGAGGGACCTGCATACCGACACGTTGCTGAGGTCTCTGCAGGTACAGCGTGTGTTAAGGTGAACCCCTGAGCCGTGTGGTGGGTGTTCTCAGTTTCAAATTGTGCAGTGGGGTTTTCTTGGTAAAAGGTAAAGGTAGAACCAAGCAGAGCTCTGGCCTTCGGTAATACAAGAAGACAACCTTGTTATTTCTAGAGCTCCTTCCCTGAAAGAGCACCTGGCAAGTGTTTAGGAGCTGGGTATATTTGGAATTCCCTTTACCGACAGGGAACCCAAGGCACCAAGCACTGTGTGGATTTCCCCAGGACCAGAGAGCCAGAAAACACCAAAGATTGGAAAAACAAGGATAAAAAAACACTCACACATGTGCCCACCCACCCTTTGCACTGGTCTAACAAGTCTTTTTGTGCTAATTTTGTGGGAATCTCCTTTTTCTGCCTTCACTGACCACAGATGGGGCCATGGCAGTTCGTCACCCTTAACTCAGCCTTCATTCATCCGGGCCACACGGACAAGGCAGAGGAAAGGTCAAAGAAAGATTACACTGGAAGGGAGAGACAGACACAAACTGACTGCCCAATATCACATATTAAGACTGTAGTTGAGACAGCCCAGATGTAAGTCCAGGTGTTGTAGGTCAACAGCCTGAGCTGCTACATCAGGTTGCAGCCAATGCCTTACAAACTACAGAAAGGACAGATTCTTTTTTTTTTTTTTTTGAAATACACTTGACCAGCAATTCTTATTTCTCAGTCCCATAAGGGCCCAAGTAACCTGCCTTTCTGGGAAAAGGGGAGCCCGGTTTCCCTCCCATCGCCACAGCTGACCAAGAGCCAAGCGCTGACACCTCTCCCTGAAGCAGATGAAGAACAAGATGCTTTGCAGATCCATATAACAGGATCTTAATGTCCTCATCCCTCAATTTCCCCAAATGGCTAAACAGGGATAATTTATCAGGAGTTTATTAGCCAGATTTCAGCCCCTATCTGATGACAGATAAGTGTCAGATATTCCTCCGAGTAACAGTAGGAATTCTTACCATCGTCACTATAAATGAATTGACAGCACAGCCCCAAGACATGAAGTTTTAGCTACTGATTCTCACCAAGATTTCTTACATCTTTTTAGCACAGAGGTGGAATACGATGCTGCTTTGGAAGCAAGCAGCAGAGATGGCAGGCTCTGATAAAAACAAGCAATGTTAACACCAGCATGCAACTTCTCAGAAAGAACCCTGCTTTTCAATTAGAAGACCAATGACGCTTAAGAGATGCTGTGAACCTTTTTAGGGATGCCCTGCTGAAGTTTCATGAATGTCTATCAGAAATTTCTCTAATAAGAGGTGAACTGTTGCCAGCTCAGCCCTGACTGTAAGTAACGAGGTAACGCAGCACAGGATCTGCATCCCGGGTTGGAGCACCTCGTACGGAAGCTCTGATACAGCACTTCGCTCTCCCTAAAGCAAAGCCTACAACTGCAGGACTATAATTTTCTTGACATTTCCTGACATATTTACAACACTGGCCAATTTATCAGCTCCCGTAGTACGTGGCTTATGTAACAGCACGACGGGCTGGGCAAAAGCCTCCAGGACTATATCGTCAGCTAAAATGTCCTGTTCAGTGTGCACTTAGCGTGAGCGAGTATCTGCTGCCCTGCTGCCACCCGGGCAGCATGAAGCATGAGCTGGCACCTCCCCACCGGCCCAACAGCTCCCCAGGGGAAGGAAACTGAAGCTGCGTGGGTTTTTCATCCCTTGCAAGTGCATCTCGGTGCCACAGCAAACAGCCCAGGCATTTGCTCTCCTCTACTTTTTTTTGTGCAACGCACAACTAAGGCCTCTTTTTACTCCTCTGGACTCTCTTACCTCTTGCAACCTTCTGGTCATCCATGACCTGATTAGGATGGCCTGTGAGTGGGTTTAAGTCATATTCTGAAGAGAAAAAGAAGGTGGGGAGTGGGTGAGGGACATTGCGCCTACATAACATGATTAAGGGTGGAAGTGAGAAAGTGTTGGGATTCAAATGTGCTGGGGGGTTAGCCAACTATATGCTTCACTTCAAATTCTCCCTTCCTCTATGCCTCACAAAGTAAATGAAGGGCCATGGAGTAGTCCCTGATATTTAAGTAGAACAGTATTGATGCACAAAAGTTATTCTGAGTGGTTCCTCTCTCCTGACTTTTTCTGCTACTCCTTCCCCCCCAGCTCCCCGTCCCTCAAAACCAACCCCAAAAGTCCCAAACAAAAATGCCAGATTAACTTACGTGTTCAAGGAAACATGGTCCAATTTCACTGAGATGGGGGTCCTCGTTGTTGTACTGTTTTTCCAAGTCCCGGACAAAACCCATCTGAAATCTGTAGATATCTTCGATGTTACCAAAGATGATTTTTAGCTGTTCATCACTGAACATATCCCTTCTCTTCCGGCACTGCTTTAAGTAACCCTGTAAGGAGTAAGAAAGAACAATCCATGAAATAACCCAAACACTTATACTGAGGCTGTTCCCAGATTATTCTTGAGGAAGGAGCAAGTAAAAACAAAATCAGAAAATGGCTCTGAAAACAAAATCCCCTTGTTACGACATGACAGTCTCCATCAACTCCTGTCTATGAGTAAGCATGCAATATGCAAAACATGCCTTGAAACTCTACGAGTCCTTTTTTTGATAGACAATATCTCGTTTGCAACTGTTGTTCCCACCACAACCTACAGCAGACCCACAGCACTGCTCTTGCTAAGGACATGCCAGACCCAGCACGCACAGGGCTTCACAGCCTGCGTCAGGAGATGCTGGAGACAGCACGTGCACGGTGCGTTGGGAGGACAGTGCTGGGTTCTGCCTCGGTGTCCCTCAGCATTTTGCATGAATCAGTTTTGCGCAGGGAAGGTTCCCCAGAGATCTCAACCAGGCACAGCCTGAAATGGCTCTGTCCCTACCTGTGCTGCAGAGAGCAGCAAGCTGTGGCGGACAGCTCCAAAGAGGTGTGCTACAGCATTGCATACCTGTTCCTTCAAAAATCACTGCCTCGCAATACCCAATATCCAGGGTAGCTCCTACAAACATTGCTGTTTCCATGTCCTCTTCAGTGGCGCATGGCATTACAGAGAAAGCTGCGAGGGGCTGTTTGATCGTCTGCCCACTCTGATTTCTCCTTTTAGCCACGGTAATCAGGACAAGGAAGCTGATAATCGTGCTGAGAAATACTCTGTTAATGTGTGGTTGCATGCCCTTGGTCTAGGAAGAGGGTGTGGAGGGTGTAACCATCCCAGTTGTTTCAGCACCAAGTGAAACACTGAAGGAAAACACTCTTCAAGCATTCCCTGACTTGGCAGGCAACATGGTTTATCCCCCCCATTATTCACCTTTCTGAGTCTGAGACGGATGCGGGAGGGCTGTTGTCCTGTGAGTGCCGTGGTGGGGAACCCCAAAGGCGAAGCAGTAGGTTGGGGGGGTGGTTTGGCTTGCCCGAGCAAGGGAGCCACAGTGGGAGCAGCCCGAGCTGCTGCTCAATGCCATCCAGAGGAAAGCAGCATTATTTTAATTTTGCTTCCTATACCTTCCATTCCATTCGCGCAAATATGCTATTCCAAACAGTGTAAAATGAGGGAGAATTTTTCTCCTGTTTTCTCAACTATCGTCTTTCATTGCTTTTCTTCCTTTTTTGAAGTGGGATGAGAGGAAAAGGCTTTGTACCTTTCTCTGTACAAACATCAGGCTCTCTTACAGAGTCTATAGACATTAAAGTCAAATGGAGAAAGAGAGAGGAAGAACTAGGATGTAGAGAGTTTAAGGAAATTCTCCTAAATCCCAGAATGAATCTGCAGTAGATTTGGAAACAATTCAGATCTCCTGCGTCTCGGTCCAGTGCAATAATAAAAAGATCCTTCTTGCTTATTCTTCGTACGCCCATGATACCCCCTGGTACTGAGCCTGAGCTTAGCTGGACATCACAGGAACGCAAATTGGTAGGCAAGCACTGCTCTGAAGGCCTCCTGACCTAAAAAAGACTGAGTGGATCAATATTCTGGCAAAAAGCATAACACACCAAGTTCTGTCTGCCTCCCTGTTTTGCTGACCCTGCCTTATCCACAAACTCGCCATCCTGGTTTCAGCTGAATCATGAGGATTTCTTCAAACATGCTTGCCTGAAGCACATGTGGTCCAGGGGATGGGGTGACACTTGGAGGCTCCGGATGCCTGGGCTGAATTTCTGGCTCTGACGCCAACCTGTGTGACATTGAGCAAATCACTTCATCCCCCCTGTGCTTTGCCTGTCTGGACTATTTAGACTAGAAACTTTACAAGGCCAAATATCAGATGCAATGCTGGCCTGGTCTGGACTGCAGCTTCTCGACTGAGAAGAAATAACATGGGGGTCATCATGAGCTGACTTTGCCTGCCTTTATTATATAGGAAGAGAAAAAAATGAAGGGAAAAAAATGCCAACAGTTCCAGTTGAACGGCTATATTTGGGAGCTCTAGATGCTTAGTCACACAGACGAACCGCCAGCTGGTGACACGCAGCTGCTGGTCCACAATGAGAACTATTGGAACGCTATAATAAACTGTCCTTCAGCCTCACCATGTGGTTCCTGGGAGGGAGAACTTCAAACAGATGAATGATAAATGCAACTTTGGCCAACCTGGCAAAGAACCAACCTCTGAGATGTCCAGCTTAGCTGGAAGGATGCCGTTACCCTGAATTTGCTGGCTTTTTCAGCTGGGAAGCTTGGGTTATGGAGTACCTTCTGCATTTACTAAATCTAGGTCTGTCTTCTTACAGGAGCTCCTTGATGAGTCATTTCCGTGGGCTTCCCTCTCTCATTTTTCAAGGCCAGGAGGAATGGGAGCAGGCTGGTTCCCACGTTGCAGGACAGTTGCAGGGAAAATAAAGATTCAAACTAGCAGTGCAGAATATCTTTCCACGCTGCTTTTCATGTTTACCTGCTTATCGCAGAACAGCTTTCAAAAAAAAAAAAAAAAAAGAAAGAAGATGTGCCCCTGCCCTTGAGGCCAGGCTCTTTTTGACACTGGCTTTGGTGGTAGCGGCGCTGAACGACCGCTGCAAGCCGTTTGTGTTAGGACCTTTGCCCCGCTGCACGCCGCAGGCTGCCTGCAAGCCAGCCTCCCCTCTCGCATCCTGTCCTGTGAAATCAGTCACAGGGTGATTTACGTGAACATCTTTCAGCCCTGGGGTTGCTACTGGCTGTGACTACGGTCTTGAATATTCCCTGTCCTCCCTGTGCTGGTTCATCACTTTGCCTGAGTCACGTGTTTCAGAGAAGCTGAAGCAGCACATTTCTGTACAGGCACCTGTAAAACCACGGGGAAAACAGAAGAACGCACGGAGTTCCCAAGCCTGATCCTCTATCCAGCTTGCGCGTTTGGATGGTTGGTTTCCAGCACAAGCCAGGAAAGGGGAGACTGAAGATTTATATATAACACGCAGCAAGAGCCAGCTAGAAGGCTGCTGTATAGTTTTTCCAGTAAATTTATTTCTGTTACATAAAACAATGTCATCTTCCTTCTGCTCATCCCGTCAGGTTTGCTCAGAGAAGGGATAGCTGACTGATGAGCAGATGTTGGAGAGTGTTTTGCTCAACGAATACCTAAAAATAGCTTTCAGACTGTCTCCCTTTAAAGTACTTTTCCATGTAGTCCCTGAAGTATAGGCCAAAGTTGGAAAGTATTTGCAGGAGGTTAAGTGCTAAGTTTTATCCACCCTAGAGTGGGTTTAGAGACAGTCAGAAGAGGTGGTCCATCCACCCATCCTTCTTCTTGTCTGGCTGAAAGCAAGGTAAAGGAGAGAATGAGAAGATGATAGCCACTGCAGGCTATAACTTCAAAGGTAGTTGTGATGATATTCCAGTTTCTGTCCATCTCTGAGCCAGTTTGTCCTGTAGACCATCCCTCAGTTTGGACCAGCACCATTTGAGCTATCAAAATACTGTCCTCTAGAGCAGTGCTCACAGCAGCCAGGGGAGTGTTGTGCTGATAGGCACATACCAAGAATAAGCACAAGAACAAAGTTGAGCCTGTTTGAATTGAAAAGGCAAACTAGAGCCATGTCTGGTCCCAGGCAGCCAGGACTCTAAAGCACTTATTCAAATACCAGTCTACAGCAAGCACTGAATATCAGGCGCTGTGATGGCACTGGGGCCCACCTAAAATGTAAAATAAAGTCCTGCAGGAACATGAGCCTGTTCCTCAAAAGGGCCAGAAGCAGCCAGCGCCAAAACAGAAAAGCGAGGTGTGCACAAGCAGGCCGTGAGAGACAGCTACAAACTGCGCCTTGGGGAACGCATATATGTGGTGTATATATCCCCACTGATCCAAAGAGCTTCGTGCAGAGCCACCCTCCACTCCAGTATCCATGGATGAGAAACTGGTCATACAAGGGGCCAGCAGCTCCTCAGATGTGCTCCTCTGAAGGAGGGCCACATTGCTGCCAAGAAGGTTTTACGCTGCTTTGCTCTGAGGCAGCACAAAAAAGTGGTTTTTATCCATCTCCGAGAATGAGTCAGGCTAATGCCATCCAGACCGCACGAAAACTTGTCCCATAAGCTCTGCACAACAGACTCAGCTGGACACGCTAAGATGCAATGAGGATGTTTTCCACGCGGCATTCGGAGCTGTCCTGGCACCAAAGCAAAGCTCAGGTGGAATCCAGTCAACATTATTAAAAAATAAACTCAAAGTGAAATTACTTGGAAAAGAGCAAAACACAGCACTGGAAGCTGGCTGGCCTTTCTAACCTCCCACCCTCAAATTACTCATAATACGGAGGTTTCCTTTGATCTCCCAATTGCCTCACTGTTCCCATCCAAGCTCTGTCACTTCTCCCTCTAACACCTCCTTAAATTTAGCCTTGTCTTCCTAATCCTTATGCTGGTCCAAATCCTGCTCGTTTCTCAACGCATGGCACCCTGCTCTTTGTAGCCCTCCTGCATCTCGTTCTTCCACCCGCGCTCCCCACCACACGCTACAGCTCAAACCACCGTCTTGGCCCTCTGCTCTCATCGAGGTACCTGCCCTGACCAAGCACCTCGGCTGCCCTGCCGCCGGCACCGGTGCCAGGCCACAGACAGACCCTGCACCCTCCCGGGACCAAACCCCAGGCGCAGGGGGGTATCCTTTCCAGCCTGGAGATGGCCATGTGGTGCTTTACAGGACAGTGAGCAAGCAGCACTGTCTGCCAGGAAGGCTGCCTATTGCTACCCATTATAAAAGCCTAGTTTTCTGTAGCGTATTATTTTCCTAAGCTCTAACCACTAAGCCTGAAATTCCTATTGCTGGATATTTCCTTAAGGCTAAATTCTTTCTTCTTTCTTTTCCCCTCGGTGATATTTCAGAATAATGATCCATCCACTCCTGATAATGCAGTCCAGGGAAAACTCCACATTTTACCCCTAATAAAAATCTTCACAAAACTCCTTCACCAAGCAGCAGTCAGTCCTTCATACTCTAAGCAAGGGCACAGCAGCAGAAGCCGTCGGGGCAGTACGGCGTTGCTGTGATGGGGAATTCCCCTCCAAGCCAGCTGCTTCACGCAGGTCTTGGCTTGCGCAGGTAATTCATTCTGGTGCTGGCTAGCTTGTGAGCTCCTGACTCGGAATGACTAATGCCAGGGGTATTATGAATAATAACAGGGTGTATAATAATATAGTAGCAGGTAGTGGGAATACATCCTGAAGCAGAGAAGAGCAATTGGAGGGCTCTTAATCACCTAGTAGGGGCTACGGTCCTCCGATAACAACCACACGTCTTAAGGTGCCTCACTGGTATTAGGATTTGCTATTCATTATAGCTCAGCAACAAGAGTATAACTACACACTGCTAAACTCAGTACTAAATCAGGCTCAACCTTCACCACCCAGCCAGAGCTCCTCTTTCATCCCCTCCAATACATCGTATCGCTGCTGTTTGTCCTGACACCTTAAAATAAAGAGCAAAGGGAAGAGGGGAATTTGCCACTGTCAGCAGCACTTCTGCATCTCATCGGCGGTTGTCTGGTGTCTGGTCCTTCTTCGGCACAAATAACACCCCGTGCAAATTCATCCAGTGGTGCTGGGAGGAGCTGAAGCCGGCCCGCGTCTCTCCAGCTCCAGCCCCCCTCCTCTTATGCACAAACAGGAACAGTCACGTCACGCTATGCCGAAACGCCTGGGATGACTGAGCTGTCTCGGAGCCTTCTCCTCGAGGCAAATGGATTGCTCTGATTAAACTGAGCACAACGAGGCTCTCTCCAGCAAGGGACTGCTCATCATTTTGCAGATGAGAATGCCCATTTCAGCCCTCCTCCTTCTTTAAGAGAGGCAGCTGAATCATTTCCTGGTGCTCTACCTGGATTTATCCCCTCGATACCATTTTGCATCATACCAAGCAAGGCAGGAGCCGTAGAGATCCCTTTCATATCCGGGACATATCATTAGGTGCTGTAAATCAGTGCGACCCCACAGATGTCACTGGAGCTATGCTATCTGTACCTCCTGAGAATCTGATTTGGCAAAAGCATGGTGACGTGGCTGGGAAACGCAAGCTAAGGTTTATTTAGCTTTTCAACAGAAAAGTGCAAATGCAGGAAAAGGAACAATATGTGGAAAAGTTCCTGCAGTTCTTCCCTTCTTCAACGCACAGTCCTCTGACTGAAATAGCACAGCGAAATTAAGCTCATTTGTTTCCAAAATGAAATCCCAAGACTCTTCCATATTTGAAAAGCGTCATAGATGCTTTTTGGATGGCTGCTTTGCCTTGTCAATAGAAAAGTAGCAAGCATGAAGGGAGGAAGACATTTTTCTAAGCAGAATTCACAAGGGGCTTCAGCACATTGACTCTGCAAAGACTGGGCACAGGCTCGCTAAATCCTAAACACTCACAGGGATGAGCTGAAAGCCATGAACTTTAATTTTAGTGCTAACAAACTTCTGTCTCTTAGCGATAACTATATGGCTCTACACGCAATGCCCAAGCTGTCCTGCAACACTCTCCGGCGCAGCCGTGCATTATCCTTCCCAAACACCCAGCACCGCATGCACTGCGCTTTGGGCTTAGCTTGTGGCACTAAATCTGTCTGCTGCAGGACAGCAAGGGCCTGTAGGGGTTAACTGTAGCATAACGAAGAACCACCAAGTTGCGGATGCGAGGGGTCAGTCACCAAAGTTCATTTGCTTGCCGGTTCCCTTACACTGGATAAACGTAACGTACTTCATTTCCCGTGGTGAAAACACTTTGCTCTCAGTCTCACCATAAGAAAAGGCAAATGGGGGCCATCCTGAGCTAGGGAAATTGTGAACCCAGTGTAAAGACACAGATGAAATGGGTAACTGATTGGTTTAATTACAACCTAATTTCCTCAATCACAAGTTCAAAAGTAGATGGCATTGGGTTTTAATTAAGAGGACTGCTTGAAGGATCTCAACCTCATCATTTTTTAGTCAAAGAGGTATTGAAAAAAGGTCAGAAAATTGTACTTTCAGTTAATACAAACTGAAGGTAATTATCAGATCCAGCAGAAAATTCTCAGAAGTATCAATACTTATTGACAGATGCTGCTCCTCTATTAGACACAGTACTCAAACACCCTGCATCTTTCTCCCCCATCACCCAAGGACAAACCCAGTCCTCGGCTCTCAACAGCCCATCCCACGTCCTGCGGCAGTACCCCAGGGTCACAACCCCCACGTACCTCGCAAATGTCCTTCAGGTGCTTGATGTAGTGGCGCTCCGTGCTCATGATTTCATTGATGACGTTGGCTCTCATCTGGTCTCGGTTCTGAACGGTCCTGCCGAGACAGAGGCAGTCGGCGCTTGGATCCAAATGGCCATTCTGCACATCGCTGGTTCCCTCCTCCACTCCATCTTCTTGGTTTACCCATAGCTGCGAGGAGAAGAGGGGAGAGCAACAGGCTTATTCATAAAAGCATCAGGAAGCCAACGAATGAAAGGAGGCTGGGTCTTGGGTTGCACAACTCTGGGAGGTACTGGATCGATTCCCTCCTTACAGCGATGGCGGTGCTCTTGCCAGCGATGCACCGTGGTGTCCACAACAGCTTACAGCCCAGACGGTCCATTTTTATACTGGTGCAACCAGCCCCAAATGGTTCCCTGCACACTGCCAAGCTCCTCTCATAAGCAAAGGGATTTCAAGGGTTGACAGTTTTGATTCCAAATATAAAATCATCATGTGAATGGGTAACTGGACTGTTGGATGCTGCCAAGTGCTCTGAACCAAGATGTACATGTGTAAACCAGACCAACCTAAAGAAAACTGCAGTTACTAGTGTAAAGCACTGCTTGTCCCAGTTCCCGCACACCATCAGCTGGGGTCTGTCCGAGCAGACAGGGAGGAGGGATAAGGCCTTTACAGGTGACTGGTTTAAGAAGGTCAAGATACGTCTGATTCAGAAATCAGAATGAATGTGAACATCAGCCCAGGCTAACCAGGTTGTGGCACTGAGTTTTCTGTAAACTTTCCAGGCCAGGGTTTTTGAATGAGCATTGATTTTCATTTCACAGCAGCTTTCCTCATCATTTCACATGAAGAGCCTTTCTCACTCAGGCAAATGCCCTATCCCTAACCTGCACTGAGATCAGACCGGCTGGATAAGCCTCCTAAAAGCTGGGGGGCTGGGGGCAGCTTTGGCCGGCGTGCCAAGCACCCCTGGGCACTGTGTACTCTAAACTGGAACAAATTGCAAAAAGCGGTGAAAAAGGATCGCTGCATTTTCAGCACACTAAATTTTCTTTCTATCTTCAAATAAAAAACATACATTGAACTTGTGAACTAGAAGGTAACGCCGCCTCCTAGTCTCTGTGTCTTTGAACAAGACTGTGCTCTGCACCCAGCATGCTGACCAAGCGCCTCCTTTTGCTACCTTCTCCCCCAAATAAAACCTGCTTAAAGTAACTCTGACCAACTCAAACTGGGCTCAGTGTAGTTTGCAAACAAACATTACATAAATCTTAAAACAGACAGAAATACTGCTACCTCACACTGAGCACCTAAGTTGTCATGTAAATGAAGCAACTTTTTCCTCAACGTTTAAAGTCCCGAATACCGGAGACTTTCAAACATAAAAATACACCTACCCACAAAGAGTGAAACTGTCCACACAAACAGAGCAGCACACGGCAAACAAACTGCATCGTTAACTTGATCTTCCAGTCTTCTTTTCACTGTTGATAGTTTTTAATACTTTGGCATTATTCAGCTTAAATTGGGTTTTAAACAGATTGTAAAGGGCTGTGTTACTGTAAATTAGTAAAGTAAAAAAACTAAACCTGCCCATGCTCCTTCCCTGCTTTCCTAACCGATATCATGTTTTGCTGAACCACTTCTTACAGCTCCCACGTTTTGTCATCCTACAGTGGGTTATAAAGGCCAAGAAGCCGAGATGTTTGAAGAAAACCCATCTCTTCTCTAGCAGAATGTTAACGATGCTGCAAACTTAGGGGATAAAAAAACCCAAAGCAATAAAAAGCTGGACTTTTCACCCTGCTCATGACTGCGCCCTGTGTCCGGGAGCTGTCAGGGACGTTACACGAGGGTGTATAAGGCAGCAATGCCTGTTTAAATGCCAAGATGCCCTCTTTGCCGGCAGTGGGGCAGGACCCGCTGGGGGCACCGACCCTGTGCTGAGCACTGCAGAGAGCTGCTGGCCCCGGGCTGCGCTCACGCCACGTCCTGACAGCACCAAGCGCGTTCCAGGGCCGGAAACCCAGTGCCGACCACTCGCCTGAAGGAGCGAGCGGCAGAGCCAGGATGGATCCGGGCATCCTGCCTGCTCTGCCCACACGATCTCCTACCTGTCCCCGACCCTGCTTGCCAACATGGGACCTCCTTCTGCACATCAGGAGGCCAGAGGGACACGCTGAAGCCTGCCAAGGAGGTGAAATAACCCCTCCCACCACCCCGGCGCCGCTCCCGTTGCATGAAGGAGCCATCCTTGAAGTACAAAGGCTTCACACCTTTCCTTACAACAGCGCAGCCAAGAGTCAATTCAATGTCTTGTGTGACGGAGCAGAAGCAAACCCAGCGAATACAGCTGTCAGCTCTCGCTCCTTACGTCACGACGCGTGCTGGGGGAAGGGGTGCCCCCAGGCGCAGAACTGCCGTGCGGTCCTGCAGCACTGGCAGCACCCAGGGTCAAAGCAGGGCTGGTCCTAAGGGCGAGCAGCCCTGGGTGCTGCAGAAGGGCATGTCAGTGACCCCAGTCAGGTCCAGCTATGCCAGTTTGGACACAGGGAAACTCCTGGGAGATGCAGCATGCCTGGGAGCAGCTCTGCATGCCTTTCCCCAGGTCCTTCCCACAGGATGGGGTTCTCCGTTGCAGCACCTGCTGCAAAGATGAACTAGGTCGTGTTGTCTCCCAGTTGTGGGACTGCACATGGATCTCTGAAAGGGCTTTTTGTAGGATTTCCATCAGCACTGGGAGGCCTGGCCGAGCCCTGGGTCACTGCGAGGGAAAGCAGTGAGCTAGTGATCTAATCGCACCCAAAGATATGGGGATCCAGCATGCAAAACCTCTCCTGGCACACTGAAACAAATTTCAGAAGAACGTCACTTGTTCAGAGAAACAACCCAAAAGCCAGTTAGAAAACATGCCTCCTCCCAGCAAACCCCCCTCTCTGCTCCAGAAGAGGCTTCAGTTACACTGAGATCGAGCAACGCCTCATCTACGTGAGCAGTGTTTTATGCTGAAAAATAAACGCCCAAGCGCTGCTTCTGAGTAACTGCCTCGCCGGCGTAAGACTGCCAAAGCGACCCTGGGCCACTTCACTTACATCAGTGACGCTGGTTTTAGCGGGAGCTCTGCTGTGGAAACCTGGGGGCCATCCTCAGAAGGGAAAATGGGCTAGACCTGGGAAGGACAGAACTGCACAGGAGGGATACGTCCTCATGACAGCTTTATTGGTGTTTCAAACCAAATATATGTTGAAAATCAAGCAGGACCAATGTAGGTATTAAACCCTGTTGGCTCAAGTTTAAAGTAACTTCCCATCCTACCTTCCTGCTACTATGAAAAGGTATTTCGCAGCTCTCCCAAACCCAACTGGAACAGCTTCTTACCAAGTTTCATGACACTCCTACCAGTTTGGCAAAAGAGGATATTTTTAAACCTCTACCTCCTGGAGTCAAGGGATCATGAGAAAAATTTCAATTTTCATTTAAAAAATAAAGCAGGAAAGATCACATCCTAATAGTAGGGGGGAGGAAGCTTGAAAGCGTGAATCCTAAAGGCTTTGAAACTCTAAGGCAAATAGCAAGCTTGCAAACTTTCATGATTTCTGAAAACCTCAGAATTTGGTCTGCCTTTTGTGCACTGCAGGAGCATTCCCTGCTTCCACATCTGGGAATCTCAGGACTCCTGCTTTTTTCCTTAATGAAATTTTCGCTCCTTCCTGCTAGGATTCATGTTCCCAAAAGGAAAAAAATTACAGTTCTAGTCTAGGTGATTTCTGCTTTAGATTAAAAACAAATGCAATGATTTTATTGGTAACAGAGGAAGCCGAATGTGCCTTCCACCCCGTGCTCTCCAGCCTCAGCTGCTGAAAGGATTAATCCCACTGCGCTGTTCAAACACCCCCGCTTTCTGTCTTCACCTCTAAAGTTCTCCGTAATTCAAGCAAGGATCATTCTTCCAGGGGATCATTTGAAGTTTGGACCATGACTCACAAAAGATGAGGTACATCACAGCTCTGCTGCTGACCTTGGGCCAATCACTTAAACTGGTGGGGGCTTTCCCCACCGATAAACGGGGATAATCTACCTTACCAATGACATTTTTGATGAATATTTTTGAGGTTGACAGGCTTTACGTTGAAGTGGAGGGCACAGAAAAGCTCATGCATACCTTGAAATATGGACTGAAATGCATCACTGTGGGCTCGCTACACTCCTGCACTCATCCACGAGCAACAATTTGGCTCGACAGCCCTTTGGTCTGATGCGGTACGGCTGGTTTCGCAATTTCAGCTCTCAAATCCTCTTGTGCCTGTGCTGAGAAGGAGCTGGGCTGCGCTGGGGCAAGGGAAGGCTGCACCTCAAGTGTTAATTGTGTCCTCTGACCCAGCATCACCACCCCAAGCCAGATCCTCTCTGCTTCACTGCCCTGCTCGCTCAAACCGCAACGACGGTGTGCTGCAGGCAACAGTAAAGGGAACGAGCAAACTGGGGGTGACACTGCTTTTTCCCAGTAACTTATTAAATGTCATATTTAGTTGATTTAGACAAGGCTGCAAAGGTTCCTATTTTAGCCCAGTCCACAGTCACCTGTAAGTAGAGTGTTCGCTATGTTTTAGACACACACGACTCTCCCCAAAATGCTCTCCTGCCTGAAATGCTTGACTTGCATTGCTGCGGGTAACAGCTGAGATGCCACTAATGGAAAAAGGGCTCTCTCCTCCCCAGCTTTTCCAACGTGGACTGGACACCAATGCACAGATGTACCCCCCCTTCCCAGTGCAAATATATCTTTTTTTGTTAAAAACAAACAAACACCACTGGCACAGGTTGCCCAGAGAGGTGGTAGATGCCCCATCCTTGGAAACACTCAAGGCCAGGCTGGATGGGGCTCTGAGCAACCTGATCTGGTTGTAGATGCCCCTGCCCACTGCAGGGGGGTTGGACCAGATGACCTTTAAAGGTCCCTTCCATCCCAAAGCCTGCTATGATTCTATAAAAGAAACTTCAAAACTCTAGTTTTTGCCCAGTTTCACCTCATATCCCCAGTCTCCCCTGTCCAGGCCCAGTGGCTGCCGCCCCAGTGAAGCTCCTGTGGGCTTCCACAGAGCAGGGACGGGACTCTGGTTCCCTGGCAGCTTGTCAGCTCTGAAATCTTTGGGTTTCAACAAGTCTCTCTAGGCTCCTGTCCTGTC